CTCTCGCCTCTGAATGTGTAAATCATGTCATCTCTTGGTGCGCTCCTTGATCAACTTTGAGTTCTCGTAAGCTTCCATTCTCAGCTCATCCAATTCATTAAGTTGCAGCAGTTGTTTTTCACCAATAGCCTTGAGATCCATATTCAATTGTTTCATAGCCCAATATGCTCGGTGCTCCAACTCCAACGGTAGATGACACGCTTTCCCAAAAATCAGGCGGTATGGAGACATTCCTATTGGTGTCTTAAACGCTGTTTTGTAAGCCCACAGTACATCGTCCAACTTCTTAGACCAATCTTTTTGGGAAGAGTTCACTGTAACTTCCAGTATTATCTTTAATTGCCTGTTCGAAACTTCAACTTGCCCATTGGTTTGTGAATGATATGGAGTTGCTACTTTATGTTTCACCCCATATTTGTTCAACAGCTGCTCTAATTGACGATTTATGAAGTGTTTGCCTCCATCACTTATTATCGCCCTCGGTGTACCATATCTTGTAAATATGTACTTCTTCAAGAACTCTATTACCATTTTTACGTCGTTGGTAGGCAATGCAACAGCTTCCACCCACTTAGAGACATAGTTAACGGCCACCAAGATGTATTGATTTAAGTACGATGGGGAGAAAGGTCCCATGAAGTCTATTCCCCATACATCAAATATTTCAACCTCCAAGATGTAGTTTAGTGGCATCTCATTTCTTCTTGAGATATTTCCGATTCGTTGGCATCTATCGCATCTCTTCACATACTCGAATGTGTCTCTGAATAAAATAGGCCAATAGAAACCCGACTGTAGGATTTTTGCAGCAGTCTTTGAAGCTCCAAAATGCCCAGCATATGCAGATGAGTGACAATGCTCTAGAATTTTCGGTACTTCATCTTCAGGAATGCATCTTCTGACTATCTGATCTGCGCCTCTTCTGTAGAGAATGAGATCCTCCCAAAAGTAATACTTCAGCTCTGCGAAGAACTTCTTTCTTTGATGGTTAGAATACTCGGGTGGAGGAATGGACTTAGCAAGGCAGTTAACAATATCAGGTACCATGGGACTTTTTCTACTCCTAAAATTTGCTTATCTAGAAAGATTTCATTGATATCATCTAACATCTCAGGTTCATCCCGTTCCAATCTTGATAAGTGGTCGGCTACCACATTTCA